AGGCAGTGTCCACCCACCGCCACACAGAGCAATTTCACCGCTGCTCCACCTCCACACTGATCGGTCCACCTCCGCTCCAGAGCCTCAGCACACCAGGACCCAGGTGTTAACTGGGAAGATTGGGGAGAGGACCACCGATGCACGCTATGGTGCACCCGCTCCCCCTCCTGCTGCGCACCCGACCCTTTGATGTGGTCCATCCGCGTTCGGGAAAGTATTACGCCAGCGGGGCTACGGCAGAGCTTTGGCATAGTCAGGATACCAGCACCTACATCCACACTGGATTCAATCCTGCACACCCACTCACTTCCACATCCTCTCCCTAGCCACACCCCCTGAGGGGGCTGAATTTTTGTAAATATCTTTAAATCAGAGTTTAAGAGGGCTGTATTAGATATGGTATGGAGGATAGCTGGTACAGACCTGAGAGGTAACCATCGTGGATGGAATGGCAAATATTGCATGAAATCCATGATATTAACAAATAAGGAGCAGGTTTAGAGTGGAAAGTCTTATAATATAAATACAAAAGCCTATGGGGGCCTGGGGCTTTACCATTGGGTAAGGTTTTAATAGTTTGGGTTAGCTTCTCAGATAAGATGGGGTGATTAAGTGATGTCAAGTCATCCTGTGTAAGTTGGGAGAAAGGGCATTCTGAAAGATAATCATGTATACGGTCACTATGTGTGTGGCCACCTGTTTGGAAAGTGGGGTCATCTAGGTCAGGTGTGCCCACATTTTTTTATGTTAAGATCTACTTTTCAAATGAGAAGCTCAAGGAGATCTATCAATGTAAAAAAAACTGTATTTTAAAAACAAACACATTAAAATTCTGGGACTATTGCATGTATCTTCCAATTGAATAAATGTCTGTGGACTGAATGCAATATAAATCTTATCCTAGTAGTACAAGGTAGTATAAAGCTGGATTGCAGTTTCTTGTTTGGGGCAGGGGAAATGTTGCCACCAGTGGTGAATGAATCTGTGAAAAGCATGCATGGCCAGGGAGATCCATCCTCCAGCACACACAGGTCATGTCTAGTACACCGTAGTAACAAACCCAACCCCACCAGTTCTCTCTATGAGCAACTCCTGCAGCCTCTCACCTCTTTCTGTGTACAGATCCTCAAACTATATCACTCCCTTGCTCTATGTGCAGCTCCTTGGGCCTCTCACCCCTTTTTTCTGTGTTCAGGTCCACAGAACATCACAACCCGGACTTCTATGTGCAGCTCAGACATCTCGCCTGTCTCCCCACACCTCTTATTGCTCTTCTACCTGCCTGGATTATATGAAGTTTGGTAACATATATAAAGTGTCAGCAAATTTGACTGACATGAACGGTCCTTTATGAAGCCATGTTATTTACTACTTATGATACCAGTTTTAGTCTTGCATTCCTGCATGTAGTCCCTTATAATGCCTTCCAATATTTTGCACACTATTGACGTTAAGCTGACTCGCCTATAGTTACCCAGTGTACTTTGTTTGCCCTTTTTGTATATCGGTATCACATTCAGTTTCCGCCAATCAGCCAGTACCATACATGTCATTATAGTGTCCATAAAAAAACTTGTACAATGGTCTGGCTATGACCTGCCTAAGTTCATTTAATACCCTCGGATGTAACCCATCAGGTCCTGGGGATTTGTTTACATTTAATCTTTCCAGCCTCTGTACTACTCTGCTCTCCGACAGCCACTGTGATACATTAAAACATAAAAGAGAACTATGGGGTAAGTGTTTTTCCTCATAGTTCACTTTAGGGTCATGTGAGGACATATACTAACCTCCTCCCATGACCCAAAGCTCAGCTTATCACAAGCAATAGCCCACGATATACTAAGAGCGCCACAGCCAGGACAGATCCCGACAAGACTGAAGACTGTTGAGATCCACCCAGCTGCGTGAGTGACAGCTGGCTCTGCCTATCTAGAGGCAGAGCCAGCTGTGCCCGCCCCCTCCACCGTTCGTTTCTCCACTCAGCACTGGAGGATCAGAGAAGGGAGGGGGGAATCCCTGCATAGAGCGGTGACAGTCACTACCCACTGCAAGGAGATGATCGGGAAGTGAGCAGATCAATTCGAAAAATGGATTGTCCCCAAATTATAGAAATCCCTTATTCGGAGCTGGTTCAGTAAACAGGTAGAAAGATAAATAATATTATCAAATTGAATATTTAATCGTAGAAAAACTTAAACAATACATCCACAACAAAACATTAAAAAACTATTAAAAAACTTCCCTTGGGTAAGCAGTGGTTAAAGAATCATGGATAATCTGCAGGCCAACTAATGTGGCATGAAAGGTTAGAGCAGATACATACAATCCAATTCATGTGCGGATACAAAGTATCCCAAGTTACTCACAGCTCATGTAGCTCAGGGAGCTCTGGGAGAGACAGTCCTGCTCGAGTCCCACAGCGCTGAATGATTTTAATTTGCTTCAATAAGCGTATCCAGTAGTAGTGGTTAGGATCCAGAGATAGGGATATGTGAACAGGGCTAAAAAATGTAGGCACCCTTCCCTTTTCCCCTGCTTGGGACTCTCACTAGCCCTCGGGCTAGAATTTCAAATTGAGCAGATCAGTACATGTTTCTGCTCACTTCCCGATCGATAGAGCCGACCTGTGACAGCTTCTTTGACAGAGGCCAACTCTAACTATGAGGATGAGTGGAAATCACTCACCTTATAGCTCTAAATTAAGTTACTATTTCTGCACTATACAAAATATTTTATAAGCCACCAGAGAAAATCAGACACCACAGCCCTAAATTTACAGTAACAGCAACAAACCAAAGCAATGGGGCTTTTAAGGTGTCATACCTGGAGTAAGGGAAAGACAAACAAATCTCATAACCACATATATGTTTTTAAACATTTATTGAAATATACATAGATAAATATGGGCCCGCAGAGGCTGCACACGTCCTGTGGATAGGCAGCGTGTTGAGTGCAGCGGAAATTCGCTGGGGAGAACGGGACACGCAAGTGGATGATGTGGTATGGAGCAAATGGCTGGATATTGTGTCAGTAGTGGGAATAACAAGGTGCAGATGGATAATGACTTAGTCAGGTTGAAAAAAGACACATGTCCATCAAGTTCAACCTATAGAGATGAGAAAAAAAAAAAAACATGGGGGATGTATCCTGGATATGTGGACTCATTCAACACTAAGATCTCGAAAGATGGCTGCCTCCTGCCTTCCTGAGGAAGCTTTGGTGAACTGCATAAAAGGCTGCACCCACAGAACATCAACACATGACATATGGACAAATTATATTATTACAGAATATGTCATATTTATTTCCACTAGAAGATTGTTGTATAAAAAGAGTTTGGTAAGCGGATTACATACAGGTGAAACTCGAATAATTAGAATATCGTGCAAAGTTCATTTATTTCACTAATGCAACTTAAAAGGTGAAACTAATATATGAGATAGACTCATTACATGCAAAGCAAGATAGTTCAAGCCGTGATTTGTCATAATTGTGATGATTATGGCTTACAGCTCATGAAAACCCCAAGAACCCCAAATCCACAATCTCAAAAAAGTAGAATATTACATGCAATCAATAAAACAAGGATTGTACATAGAACAATATCGGACCTCTGAAAAGTACACGCATGCATATGTACTCAGTACTTGGTTTGGGCCCCTTTTGCAGCAATTACTGCAATTACTTTTGCACGATATTCTAATTATTCGAGTTTCACCTGTATATTATGTGCTTATGTGGTCCAGGGGGGCTAATGCCACAATGGGAGCATCATGAAATGGGAGCAGTGACTTGGTGCATATTATAGTGCTAGTGTACTATTTTATCTAATTATTTTAACAGTATGTAAATATCAGTAAATGTTTAAAAACATATATGTGGTTATGAGATTTGTTTGTGTTCCGCTCACTCCGGGTATGGCTCCCTAAAAGCCCCATTGCTATAGTTTGTTGTTGCTATTTCTGCAGGTGATGCCCTATTCACTAACCACGTCCATCTCATCTGTAGAGACAGAAGAAAATAATCTGTTTTCAATGCATTCGATTTCTCCCTGTTGCTTGTAGCTTACCTCCCCTGATCATCTGTTATGGGACCTACATGTTCCGTCCTTGCTCTCTTGCTATTTATACAGTATATTTAAATAATTTCTTGGGGTTCCTTTTGCTTTCTGTTGCTATGTGTTCCTCATATTCTATTTTTGCAGTCCTGATTGCTTTTTTACATCTTTTGTTGAATTTCTTGTGGTTTTTGAATGCTGTTGCTGACCCCTTTAGACTTATACTTTTTGAAGGACTTATCCTTTTCCCTTATGTGTTGTTTTACCTTGCTAGTTAACCACCCTGGTGTAACTTTCGCTTTTTTTTTAAATTTATTTGTAAACGGGAATGCCCTGGACAATTTTATTATTTAAGATTTCCTTTTCCATTTCTCCTCAGTGTTCAAATTCAGGAAGATATCCTCCCAATTGATGTCACAGTTCTTGCAATTTATTAAAGTTAGCTTTCTAATCATAACAACATGCCTGTGTTTCCTTGAGTTTACAGTGAACTTTATCATTCTATGGTCACTGTTCCCTAGGTTATATCCTGATTTTCACATCTGTAATCAGCTCTGTGTTGTTTGTAATTAATAAATCCAACAGAGCATTTTCCCTCGTTGGGATTTCCACCAACTGTCCCATAAAATTATCTCGGAAAGTGTTCAAAAAGCGAGTTTGCTGTTTCATTTGCCTAATCTATATCTGGGTAATTAAAGTCCCTCATTATTATGACATTGCCTTGCCTTCCCACTACATCTATTTGTGACAATAGAGAAGTCTCTTCCTACTCCACAGCATTCAGGGGCCTGTGGCATATTTTCACCAGTAATTTCCCTTTCTTATCCTTCATTTCCATTTCTATCCATAGTAATTCAGCATTATCCCTGTTTTCCTGCGCTGTCATCTGGTATATTGATGCAACAAAAGGTACAGCGCTAAACGCCCTTCAGGAAATTCGATGACGGTAAGGATCAGACTGATATCACCTCCGTGTCAGGCAATCATAAAAAGCATGTGTATAAATATGAGTATAAAATATTGTGTTACCAAAGTGTCGTAAGTGCGTGTCACAAATACACCTTAATCAAAGAAAAAAAGATATCTAAAAAACATGTATCATATATGTACATTAAAAATAAAAATAAAAATCCCACATTATGAAACAGTCGTGTTGTGTTGTTTTCATTCGAACTATAAACTAAAAATTATTAGAAACATAAACTTGAAGTTTTTAAAAAAAAATTCTCTTCAAGACACAAAGCAAAAAATAAAAAGCGAAAATAAGTGAAATGTTCAGTTTTGTGAAGTGTCCAACGAAAAATCAAAGAAGATAAAGCAGGCAAATCCCCTCTAGGGAATGCACTCACCAGATCCCTGATGGTAGAAAACCGTTAATCTTATCCGATGGAGACCGAAGATGTGTGTCCTCTTCTCCCGTTTGGTAAAGCTTCAGGATACAGAACCCGCTTGCTTCTCCGAGATGTAGAGACCAAGATCTTTACTATTAGGTCTCCTCGGTTAGATATCCATCCGGACTCTGGTTCTGGTTACAACTCTACCATTTTGGACTTCCTCTGACTTGGAGACAATGAGGTGACAATGCGGGGAAGATTTAGGCCTTGTTCCAGCCATAAGGATTGCACGTCCTCCCCACTATTTGACGTGATGTCGTCCCTTATATGCATATTTAGATTATTTTTAACATGAATGCATACCCCCCCTTCTCCCACCTCTGGCCGTCCTGAACAGGTTGTACCCCTATATGTTGGTGGCCCAATCGTGCGCTGTCTAGCCAGGTTTCCGCTATTCCCACTATATCGAAGTCCTCTTCGAATATCATAAGTTCAAGCTCTTCTAATTTATTTGCCAGACTTCTAGCGTTTGTGTACATACATTTAATTCCTGTCTTGTTATTGGACAAAGTTTTAAGTGATATTGGTATTCCGGTATCAATTATATTATCTTCAGCTATAGGATTTACTATATTGACTGCTTTGGCACTGGTGACTGGAGTGAGCCCACTATTTGCCCCTTTGTTACTCCCCTCTTTATTATATGTATTCATGTTAAAGTTATCACTGCCTAAGTTTAATATTTGTATTTTTATGCCCTCCCCCCCATTATCTAGTTTAAAAGCTCCTCCAGTCTTTTTACCACTTTCCCCCCCAGGAATGCTCCACCTTCCCCATTAAGATGCAGCCCGTCTCGGCCGAAGAGCCAGTTGCCGACTGAGAAGTCAGCCCAGTTCTCCAGGAAACCAAAGCCCTCATTCCTACACCAGTTCCGGAGCCACTTGTTAAGTTCCCTCAACTCGCGCTGTCTGTCCGGAGTGGCTCTTGGCACCGGTAGTATCTCTGAGAAAACTACCGTGGAGGTCCTTTCCTTCAGCCTAGCACCTAGGTCTCTGAACTCCTTTTTTAGGACACTCCAGTTTCCTCCTATTTTGTCATTGGTGCCGATGTGCACCATGACAACGGGGTCGTGCCCAACCCCATCTAGTAATCTATCAATTTGTTCCGCAATGTGTCGAACTCGCGCCCCTGGTAAGCAGCACACTGTTCGACGCTCACGGTTACGATGACAGATTACCCTGTCAGGCCGTCTGATGATGGAGTCTCCCACCACCAGGATCTTGTCTCAAAGTATCACCCTAACCGCCCCCTCCTCTCTCCGCTCTTCCAAAGATCTCCTGCTCCCTCGTCAACTCCTCCCATGCTCGCCTCTAGGACTTCTCTGGAGTCTCTTCATTCTCTGGAACTCTTTACTCCAACCTGTCCGTCTATCTCCTACTCTGACTGACTTTAGGCGATCCCTTAAAACTCCTCTTCAGGGAAGCCTATCCCACCACAAACTAACCACTGCACCATCATGTTCTCAAACTATTCATCCCCACACAGCTACCTCCTCATGTATCACTTGACCCTCCCTATTAGATCGGAAGCCCTCATGGGCAGGGCCCTCCTTACCGTCTTGTCTTGAATTGTATTGTAATTGTAATGTCTTCCTTATATTGTAAAGCGCTGTGCAAACTGTTGGCACTATATAAATCCTGTGTAATAATAATAATGCTACTCAGACTTGTTTTTCCAGGATCAATTTAACCCTAGGGAATTGATATCTTATATTATGTCTGTGGAAATAATTGCCAGGGCCTTTTAAGATCACTTACCTATTGTTACACAACTGCTTGTCTGTTCCAAGTTAACCAAAGGATTCTGGAAATAACCCCCTTATGGCTAAATATTATACAATCAAATCATTCAACTCTATCCAGTCTAGTCGCATTTCACTCCTTGAATGAGTCAAACCCCCTTGTGGTATAATAATTCTCCACGTATCACTGACGCTCATTCACTTCACTGTATTTAAGTGCAGAGCCATGGTTGTCACCAAGGCTGTACTTCAAACATGTCTTCCTCTCCATTTCCCTTACACAATATTACATAACATTGTATGTGCTTTCAGTTCAGATCACTAGAAACTTCTGGTCTGACAAAATTCATAGTTATTTTCTGTACCTGCTGAAAAATGTTCTAGTAAAATGCAATGTATAAAAGTTTTGTCCTTGAGTTTAGATATCCTTTAAGTTTAAAAACCAATTCACATCTTGGTGCAACCTCTTCCTCTCAGTGGTGGGTAGGACCAACCTACTGAAAATGGTCTGGATGTCACAGCTGCTAAATCTCTTAAATGACTCCCCTTGTTGGATTTTTCTGATGTACAAAAAATGTATGGTATATTTAGAGATCCTAAATGGAACAAAAAATGCCCAGGATTAGACTAGAGATTTGGTAGATGTGCTTTTGACAGCAATTACAACCTTGAGTCGACGTGGATAGGGCTCTGATCTGTTTCCGCTTTGCACATATGGACATTGCAAATGTTGCCCTTGTTTTTTGCAAAACAACAAGATCTGTTAGGTTGCATAGTGAACAGGGTTTTTTTTTTTTACGTTCAGCCACAAAGTCTTATTTGATTTGAGATCTGAACTCTGACTTGGCCATTCCAATACATTAAAACTGTTGTTTTAAGAAATTTTTGTGCAGTTTTGGCTTTATACCAAGCCCTGGTGAGACCCACATGCAGCCCTGGTGAGACCCACACGCAGCCCTGGTGAGACCCGCACTCAGCCCTGATCAGACCCCGGACAGCCATTGTCTTGCCAAAAGCCAAATATTTCCCAAGGGTATGATTTCTTGTAGACTGCATTAGGTTTTTTTTCACTGGATCACTGTATTAATTTTACCCACTGACCTCACAAGCCTTCCAGCCTTGCAACAGTTGATTGCATATTCTCTTCAAATCCATTGATGCCTGTAACTCCATATGAGTGGCAATAGGTCTCTTGTTGGCCTGTGAAGAACTAGGAGTGGGAACTGTATGTCTTAATATTAAATGTCTTTTATTGGCAATCAGATCCTAACACGTGCTTTACATATTCACACGAAAATTACCGGCACATTATTTTACAAAATCCAAAATACTATTTCAGTATCTGTTTTATAACACACTGCTGTCATTCTTGAAACTTTTCCTGTTTTGTTTTTTTTCAACATTCTCTCTTTCAATTTACAGACCGTTGAAAACTGTGTGTGCATTTTAAGGAACCTCTCTTACCGTCTAGCTGCAGAAACTTCTCAGGGACAACAGATAGGAACTGATGAACTTGATGGATTGCTTTGTGGTGAAACAATCAACAAAGACACTGAAAGTTCAGGATGCTGGGGAAAAAAGAAGAAGAAAAAGAAATCTCTAGACCAGGTAAGAAAATAAAAATCTTTAGTTGTATGGTTCAGTTTTGTCTGTTTTCCCTTTGTTTCAAATCAGATATTTTAATGTAAAAGAGGATCTCTCATCAACATTAACATTGCATAATTAAATTAATAGACATCAAATAAGTCATTAGTAAAAATGATTTTTTTATTGGTAAATGCCTACTTTCACAATTACTTATTATTAGGGATGCACCGATATATCGGCCGCCGAAACATATGGTCCGAAAATGACACTTTTGCCATAATGCCGAAAGTGACATTTTCTGCCCGATACAGCGGTGCATCCATCCTATTCTCTCCTCTCCGCTGGGTGCTGCTCTGTTTCCCAGCGGGGAGGAGAGAAACTGTCAGAGGCAGCCGAGCACTGCGGCAGGAGAGATTTGTGAGCGGCCAGCGTCTCTCCTCACACACCGCTCAGCCTCCTGTCACAGATCAGCAGAGCGGTGTGTAGGCGGAGACAGCCCACGCTGTCACAGCAGGCTGAGCTCTGCTTCCTCAGCCTCCTGTGACAGTGAGTCAGGAAGAAGAGCGGTACAAACACTCAGCAATCGCTGAGTGTTTGTACATAATTGAGGATATATTCTTAACTATATCCTCAATTATGTATGAATGGGAAGTGATCTACATCACCTCCTGTTCATTCATGATTGTGGTTATAGTAAACATACTCTGTCCTCATGTTATGAATGAACAGGAACAGGATTCCTGTTCATTTATAACAGGAGAATAAATATAAATAAATGTAAAACTTTATAAAAAATAAATAAAAATAAAATATTAAAAAAAATTGAAAAAGTTAAAATAAAAAACATTTTCGGTTTCTGCCTGACATTTTTTTTTTAATTTCGGTTTCGTATCAGCTTTGAAATTTTCCTTTCGGTGCACCTCTACTTATTATATAGTATATCGGAAATGTTGAGGTTGATCTACTAAAGGAATAGAAAAGTTCCCTTGGAAAGACAAAGAATTATAAGAGATCAATTTGAGGAGCATTCTCCAGCATAAAACCAGGCAGATATGTGTGGACAATAATATAAATAGAAGTGTTTTAGATCAGTTTTTTATAAAACACAGTTTTCCTAAAGAAATAAAGTATAAAACACTAAAAATAAAACCTATGTGATTTACTTCTAGCGTTAAAAATCCACAAATAATAAGAAAAAGGAATTTGAAAGAAAAAAACTGATGGAAAGCTTACATTATTTAAGGGTTACAAAAATACAGCAAGATCTGCAAAAAAGGAAATCAAACTGACAAAAAAATCAAAATAAAATCCAGAGTAAAACTAAGCCCCTAAAATTATTTAAATAAATTTTTTTCAACACAATGTTATCAAACTTACAATCAAGTTATTCTAAGTATATGTGGTAATGAAAAAAAATATAATACCCCTACAAAATTTAGATGCAAAAACATTTAAATATATAAACAAAAATAGTGCTTCTCAATATACGTCCTTTGACAAAATCCTTTGTTATAGTAAACATAGATTTACAATAATATGTAAATGTTAGGACCAGATGCAGACACTCACAGGCAGAGTAAAGAGTGGGGATTGACTTCACTTAAAGCAGATGCCTTTCCTTTAAAGCAAGTTTGCCTACCGGTATGCCCCCAGGACTTAAACTAATACTAAGGGATGCACCGATAATAGTATTCGTATCGGTGCCAATACTGGGCATTTTAACGAGTACCCTTACTCATTAAAATGCCCCGAAACCTAAAGCCGATACCGGCCTGTAGCAGGTCATCATGTAGAGAGCAAGGAGAGGTCCTGTCCGGGGTTTATGTGTCACCCAGATTGCTCTCTTACACCTTCCGCAGCCTATAGTAAGCCCCAGGTTCTACACTTTGCCTCAGTGGCAATTTAGTGCAGGTGAGGCAAACAGACAGAGCTCTGGAGCCTGGGGAGCAGACAGTCTCTATCTGCTGGAGCACAAGGTTGGTCATGGTGGTTTGCTGAAGCCTGACAAACAATATGTTTGTACAGGTTGGTAGTTAGGACTATCTTATGTTTAGTTAGTGTCGGGACACGGCTAGCATTTAGTTTTTTAAGTGTTTACTTTATTTGAGCACTGTACAGCACTGTATATAGCCTGTGTGTTGCACCAATAAATGTACCACTGTTTGAAGACAGGTCACTGGCCTGGTCTCTGAACCTTTCAAGAGTGCTCACCCTTGGGAGCAATTGCACCCGCTACCTATTGCCCAGCTCACACGGCCATGTACATTTTTTAATGACATTGGCTGCCATAAGATCCTGTGTTTGTGGGGGATCCCGCAGTGGCGCGGCCACAGATCTCCTGCTCCTCCTTCTCGCTGCCAGCAGCCATCCATACAGCCATGGGGAGACCTGCAGACGCCCGCACAGTACTGAGGAGACCTGCTGCTCGCACCAGCCCAAACAGCCATGGTGAGACCCGCTGCCTGCACAGCCCTGGGGAGACCCACAGACGCCCGCACAGTACTAGCGGGACCCGCAGATGCTCGCACAGCACTGGGGAGAGCCGCCATTGCACCTGCCTGAACAGCCATGGGGAGACCCACACCTGCCTGAACAGCCATGGGGAGACCCACACAGCCCTGGGGAGACCCGCATGCAGCCTTGGTGAGACTTCATGCAGCCCTGGTGAGGCCATACAGTTTTGATGAGACCACATGCAGCCCTGGTGAGACCCGCACGCAGCCCTGGTGAGACCCGCACGCAGCCCTGGTGAGACCCACACGCAGCCCTGGTGAGACCCCGGACAGCCTTCTGAGACCCCGCACAGCACTGGTCAGACCCCGCACAGCCTCCTGAGATGCCACATAGCCCTGGTGAGCAACACAAAGTATGTAGCTTCATATTATTCCGCATTGTTGTATAGTATTGCTGGGATTTGTAGTCCTCTATAGCTGGTGGTATTCTGCATTGCTGTATAATGGATTGCTAGGATTTTGTAGTCCTTTCTAGCTTGTGGTATGCTGTATTGCTATACTAATGTAGTCCCTCTACAGCTTGGAGTCAGTGGCAGAACTATCAGGGTTGCAGCTGTAACCGAGCCCTGGCCCCCCACCACTGTCCCAAAATCATTAGTCTGTACTGTTTTAGGAAAAACTGTCACATGACACTAAAAAAAAGGTATCGCTAATTGGTATTGGCAAGTACTTGAAGAAAAGTATCAGTGCTCATATTCAGTCTTAAAAAATTGTATAAGTGCATCTCTCCTATATATTCTGTTTCTGATGGTCCCCCAGTACAGGGCAAAGGTACTGACTGGTAATGGAGGACACAACAAGAGTGTTTACCATGGACAGCCGGAGTCAGGACTGGCAGCAGACAGTGTTTTCCAGGACAAAGTATTCAGTGACTAAATTCAGACTTGTGAAGAAAGAGCTATCACAAGTACAGAAGCGTCAGTTAGTGATGCTTAAATAAGGCGCTACCTGACACAAGGCCAGTCCTAGAGCTGGAGGTATGTGGCCAGATTAAGAAGGCCACAGCTGACTAGGCTAGAACTACAGCCAGCAAGACAAGTTGTTAAAAACAGTGGCAGGATTTATTAGCCCACACCTGATTAGGGCTGTAACAACTAATCGACATAATCGATTATAATCGCTTATTGAAAAAGTTGTCAACTTTTTCAATCATCGATTAATCGGCTTCCGATTGGTTGGCCCTGTTCACCGCTCCACACACGCTGCGCGCCACACCTCCTCCCCACCTCACATTTTTTTTTATCCGATTAACCGATTAATCGAACTTAATAATCAGTTAACTAATCGATTTTGAAAATAATCGTTAGCTGCAGCTCTACACCTGATTAAGACAGATCTACAGCAAGCAACACAGACTGCCTGAGAACTACACAGACTGCCTAACAGTAAATGATCACCATACGTCCCCGTTCATACCTAGATGTTTTGTCGCTCAAAGCTTAAATGCGACAAAACACTAAAGACAAGGAATCCCATTTGGTGGTCTTGAGCGCAACAATTGCTTAAGCCAAGGAATTCAATTTATTTCCATGGCACACTGAGCGTTTTGTTGCAAGCAGAAAAAAGCCTGTCGCTGGAAATAATACATGAGCTACTTTTTTGCACATTACAGCGCTTTTTGGTCCCATAGACTTCAATGGTAAACTTTGTGCGACAAAACGCACAAGAATGTTTGAAGCGTGCGCTTCCAGTTGTCTCTCATTGAAGTCTTTTGGACCAAAAAGCACTGTAATCTGCAAAAAAAGTAGCTCATGTACTTTTTCCAGCGACTGGCACTCTTCTGTTTCTGACAGAATGCTCAGGTATGAACAGGGGCCATAGAAATAAATGAGCGTTGTCTTTAGTGTTTTGCTGCACTTAGCTTTGAGCGACAAAACGCCTAGGTGTGAAAAGAGCTAAATTACAGTCTTTGTGAAAATATAATAATATTTTTTTAAATGTGCTTGTGTGACAAAAATAACATTTGGTACACCTGGTGTTTTTTGCACTCCTGGTGTTTTTGCACTCAACTGCTTTCTGAAGAAACACGAGAAGACTTGGACCTCTATTACTAAAAGTCAAATGTGCCTTATTATAACCATCCAGCAAAGAGATATTTTACCTTGAACATAGATTAGTATTTTCTTATCCACAGGTATCCCCAGAGAATTGATTTATAAGAAGGTGGAGAACACATCCATGGAATAGCCCAATTTATTGTTAAAATATAAAAACAGCTTATGCACTTACATGCAAAATGTGATCTAAGCACCATGTAAACCAGCCCAATGAATTTCACAGCTACCGTTAAAGCGCATGTTCCATTGAAAATGCTTGGGTTTCAACCCACACTATGCCAGGCGTGTGAACAGGAAACATCTCTCTTCACTTTATGTTGATACTACAATTAACTCTTCCTTAATAGAATATCAACCCCATGCATTGAATCGCATTTTAATTGAATGTTGACTTAAATGTTCAAAACTTTTGGAATCAATGGGGTTGATTTACTAAAGACAAATAGTCTGT